CGTTTTATGTTTTCAACCGCACTAAGATTGACGTCTTTTCATTGGTCAGCCGGTTAGNCTGCTGCTGTTTCTGTCGTTGATCCGAAGGATAGTTCAGCCTCCCCCATGCTGCCCCCTCACGGAGTCCCAGTTCATGGCAGATAGAAGCGTTTTATGTTTTCAACCGCACTAAGATTGACGTCTTTTCATTGGTCAGCCGGTTAGCGCGGTGGATGCTAATGATAAACACACACCACGAGAGCAGTTAGTTGCGGCTGGCTGGCACCGTCGGCCACAGCTACATGTACCCAGGGGCCTATTTCCGAATTTCATTTTTTTTCTCATGCTGCTTCCAGAACCAGAGCAGTTTCTGCCCCAACTCTAGGGCGACTACTTGTAAGTGATCTACAGCAGTCAGCTGTCCTTGACCGTTGAACGACGACCGGTAGGCACCACACCGGATGCCTTAATATAAACGACATGAGAAACATGTGTGCATGTCATGTGTGGCAAAGCACGATACCCATGTTCCGCTCTCTCCGGTCTTGTGCATAACACGGGTCAAGGAGAGGCCCAAACATTGCACCACCCACCTGCAGCACGATGACGTTTACTGCTGCTGGCCGCTCTCCTAGCCAGCTTCCTCCTTCGCACCGATCTAAACGACGGCTGCTGCTTGCAGGCGGCCGACCTGCTGCTCTTCGATGGGCTGATAACGGAGACGACTTCGCTGGTACCACGATGAAACCGGAGCAAAAAGATGAGAGAAACATACACGCAGCCAACACGGCTGCCATTCGTGTGGTTAGGGGTACCATCGTTCGTGCGTATACGACGTAGATGCGAAGCGGAGCTTGCGAAGCCACAGCACGCCGCACACCCAAGGAACACCAACCGGAACGAATCTGGGGGCACGCGACAAGGTATTCCTAGGGGTACGTTTAGATAAAATACGAATCGCGTGGCCTCTCCGCCAGCTCGACCGCTGCAGCAGCAGCAGACCAGAGACAGAGCGGATTGCCTGTGCTGCACCCATATCTTGTTGATCGACCCCTGAAGTAAAGCTGAACCGGGACGGTATTGGTGGATCATGGCGAAGCATCACCCCGATCTGGTCATGTGCCGGAAGCAACCTGGCATCGGTGAGTCGATCCACGAGCGATTTCTGCGTCTTCGTCTCCCTCTGTTATTGCGTCGTCGTGAGGGTGATTCGTGCTTGGGGAGAAGGGAGACCCGCGCAACATTAGCTTATGGGCTTATGAAATATCCTTGAAGCCCCTCCATCGCATGCTCCCTAAGCCTTTCCTGTTATTTTGTTTGCATATTTTTTTAGTGAAGAGTGAAGAGCAGCATTGGCGGGCGTATCTCGGTCTTTTCCGCCCAGAAGAAGGCTGCACAGCTACATCTGTACAGAGGGTGTCTACAGACTAACCCATGATGTGGGTGTCATGCGGATTTCCGCCTCAAGTTACCTGTTGATTGGCCTACCGCGGTTGAAAGCCGGTTCGTTTATTTAGGCGACCACGGCAGTGCTTGTGTCCCGTCACTAAGGGCAGCCGATGCACCCACAAAAAAATAAAAAAACGACGCTGTACTGCTGTATTATAGCCAGACATCCAACCACCGCCCGGTCGTCCGCCTCCGGATTTCGTCATCTCATCATCCTGCAGTAAACTTGGGGTGAATCCTCAAGTTTCCTGGGTACAGTAGTCTGCTGACGTCCCTGTTTGTAGTGTGTTCCTCCTCCATATTTATATGTTATACCCTCACCCTCCATATTCCGCCCTTGCTTGTGCCTTTTCCGTCCCTTGCCCCCCCTCCTCGGCACCTGTTGTCTCCCGTTCCTCGACCTTGGTAATAAATACTCCTCGAATCGTCGAATGGAATCGGATCGGTCTGCGCCACCACGCTGCAATCATCCTGGCAGCCATCGGCCGGCTGTGCGAGAAATGTACGAGACAGGATCAAGCCAGAGTTTGTTTTTTGACGGCGTGTTCTCACGGGTGGTGTCATTCATATGTATGCATGTTGTAGCGTTCGATAAGCCTCAGCGATGCTTTCCTGCACCTGCACCAGCTCTCGCTTGATTGTGACGTCAGGTACTGCGATAGCAGCTGCCTCGCTCTGTTGCGGCCGACAAACGGGCGCATCCAGACTGCTGTACATAAAGAGCAACCTGACCTTGTTTGTCGTTATATTTGATGAGATAATAGATGATGTCGTTGTGCGCGATCTCGACTCTACCTGATCCGTCTTCTGGGGACACGGGTGTTGGATAGAAGTGCTATGCAAATTGCCGTGTTTTGGCCGGCCGTTACCACCACCACCGCTTGTGGTTCATCTTTGTGAAGGATACCCTAGGCCAGCGAAAACCCAACGTTTCGCTCCGTGCCGGCATGCAAGGTCTACGGCCTACGGACTACGGCATGCTTTGACGCAAGTAAAGCTCCCCTACCACCACCACCACTACCACCACTATCGTACCCGCTCACGCCCGCTACAACAATGCTTTTATGCGACTGACATGTCAGGCGATGGCAAGTGCATCTTGTGCGACGCTCACCTCCCCTTGCTCGTTGCTCCCCAATCATATCTGACTTGTGTGACTGCGACTGCGACTGACGTTCCAGGCGATGGGAAGTGCGTGGTGTGCGACTCTTACGTGCGGCCCTGCACGCTAGTCCGCATCTGCGACGAGTGCAACTACGGCTCCTTCGAGGTGGGTAACTGTAGTGTATGTGCGGCGCATCACACGCTGTAATAACGAAAAACACCAGGACCGTAGCAGCTTGGTTCACGGACATTGCCTTAAAAGCAGCCTTCGGTTAACCTCGCGTGACATGTTCATTTTGGATAGATCTGTACTCCAGCTTTCTTGCGTCAACCTTCGCTGCCTGCTCCCATGGTATTCTATGTCGTCGCTCGATATTTGTCGAGACAGATTTGTGCCGTTACCAGTCGCTTATCGAACTCTTCTTGTTTCCCCTTTTCTCTCAGGGACGGTGCACGATCTGCGGCGGGCCCGGCATCTCGGACGCCTACTACTGCCGCGAGTGCACCCAGCAGGAGAAGGATCGAGACGGGTGCCCCAAGATCGTTAACCTGGGCAGCTCCAAGACCGATCTCTTCTACGAGAGAAAGAAGTACGGCTTCAAGAAGAGATGATGCTGGTGGCCTGCGCCGCGACGACGTGGTGGACCAGATGGGTCAATCAGATCAGTCGTTGGGGGCGCCGGCCGGGGAGAATGAGGAAGGGACGAGACTACATGTTCATTCTGGCACCGGGGCGCTTGTGTGTTGCCCCGGTACTGCCGAGTGTTACAGGATGGAAAGAGGGCATCAAGTGCTTCACGGGAAGATGCGTGTTTTGTATTGCATGGCATAGTTGCAAGCAGCGGTGGTAGATGGAGAGGGTAATACGCCGCTTGTTTTTCTTCTAGCTTTAGTGTTTCGTAGACATGCGGGACTTAATACATGACAGAAGGAAAAATGAGCAGAAAGCAAAAAAGGGGAAAAACAACCGAGCATCAGTTTGTTTCCTCGTTGTACCTGGGTAGGAGGAGGGTGGGTGGGTCGGACTTAAGGGGAAAGGGATTTGTAGATGGAAGTGCATGCGTGTGCGTTGCTCTAAGGCAACAAGCGAATAGGAAGCCCGCAGCTACTTCAGATTTGCCAGCGACGAGTGGAACTCTGCGGTTGGTTGCATTCCCCGAAAACAATGCGATTGTCCAAGGGCTGCAGCAGGCTGTGTTCCCTTGTCGGGAGGACCGCCTCGTGCGCACCAATGCACCTTGTTATCGGTCACGTAGGACAGTTTTTTGCTCGGTGTGAGAGCCTGTGACTTGCCAACACACTACACAAGAAGAGATGGCACGATGAAATATCAAGCATGGATTTCGCGAATCGAGAGAGATGCGTGTTTCGGTTGAAACATGGAGACTGATTCAAATGCAAGCCGTGAAAAGTGGTCGAGTTCGACTTGGGCGTGGGTCGTATTGTCACACGACCCGGTAGTGGGTAGTGGCTACTACTCCCCAGGTGCTACTCCGCACGTGTGTTCCGTGGGCAATCTCTCTGTGCAGATGCCTTGTGTCATGGTGGGTTTGGTTTTCGACGAGGAACAATTTCCGTCCTTCTCTTTCCCACGACTCAAAGCAGCATATTTTTTACGAGTGATTGCTGATAGCCCACACCCTTTGTTTGCTGTTGCGAAGGTGGCAACTACTGCTCTGCCGTTGTTGGGTTGATTACTGTGTGCAGTGTGGTGGTCTGGTCCTCGCCGACTGGTTCCTCTTGGGTGTGTCATGTCATGTCCTGTCACACCCTATCGTGTCATATCATGTCATGTCCTTTCACGTCATGCCTGTCACACGACTCTCGCTCAAAATATTATTCCACAACACCATTGCACATTTCCACTACACGACGCCATGTGTGCCTTACAATCAAGCAATGCGCCTGCACACTATGTGCGAAGTTGAACGTGGATACAGGATGGTAGTTCGAAGAGTGGGTCGTTTCACTGTGACCTCGAAATGAACCTTGTGGACACGTGAATTCCAATCTCGGCGGAGTCACACGGCATTGGACTTTGTTCTCGCATAGTGCCCAACCAAATTACGTGTGCACACAGTCGACGAGGGAACGGAACGGCTAAGTCCCTCTCGCGATGAACACTCCAGGCAAGCATCGCAAAAAGGATGTAGTAGAAAATAACACAAAATGCCCTCCTGTGTGGTCTTCCTCCTGTCGCCCCGGCTGGCGTGCCCACTACCCATGCAGAAAGGCGCAGAATGGACATCCGATCCACAGTCCACGGGATGGCACATACAAAGATTGGAGTTGAACGCCATTTGTAGAACACGCCCGAATCCGCGTACGCTTGGATGATCGTGGTCGCACAAAAAAAATATTGTGCAAACCCCAACTCATCATGATCTAAATTTAAAACATAACGGAGGGGCAAAGGCTCCGCCAAAACCTATGCCCCGGAACCAATTATCTGAAAACAGACGGGGCGGCAGGCTAGCCCCGTGGGATTGTGTACATACATATCTAGGCGTATTCTACACGTTCAAGTCGTCATCTCGGCCCGCTACTGGGGTACGGTCGTCTCGAAAACAGCCCAGCTGCTTCCAGACTCTTTCTCACAGAGCAACAGCAAAACAATACGTGGTACACCCACCCGCACATTTGTGGATGATGCCCGGGTGACGTTTACGTCGATTGGTTTCGAGAAGGAGGGAGGGAGGGAGGGCCACGGGGAGGGGAGGGGCATGCACTGAAGGTCAGAGATAGATAAGAACAAGGGCAAAGTACACGCCGAAAAACGACCGTTAAATTTGCGTGATCTCCGTGGCAAGAACCGGCTGACTGGTACGTCGTTGGTGCTGTTGGTACTGATGGAGACCGGTCCAGACCAGACCAGACCAGACCAGACCAAATACAACTATTGGACCTGTCAGTTGTGTCGTTTCGTGCATAAGACGCCGGTTCGGATGGTTGGGCTCCAAACGAAGCTCTTCCAATGACCACACCTCGCATTGCCCTTCGTGTTGAGGCCGGATGCGCATCAATACATACGTACGCATACCACAAGACACTCTTTGCTTTCCTCTCGCTGTAGAATCGCCCGGTGCCACCAAGCTTGACACTTCAAAAACTTTCGTTCTTGTAGGTGGGGTTTTATTCTCCCTTACCGAGGGGATGCTTGTCCCTTGCCGTCCGAGGGTGGGCGTGGACGGTCTTCTTGGGGTGCTGGTGCTGCTGCTGCCGCTACACTTGTTTTGGGGTCGCGAGCTAGAACCAGGTCTCGGAGAGGAGCGCGGCGTGAAGGGTAGATGTGTAGAGCCTGCGATGAGGGGGTGGGTCAAGGTTTGTTTTGACGAGTTGATTCGCGGAGAAAAATAGCGCTTCCGGCTGTTAGCCCTCGACAAGCGTCTGTGTTGTCAAAAACAAACTTCATTGGCTCGCTCAATGGAATGACGAAAAAACAGGTAGACTGAGGTGCCAAGTGTGGTTCTTGGATGTTGAAACACGCCGGCTCCTTCCGTTCCCAGCAGACTCCAAACTGGGGCCGGAACGGGACCTACAAATCCAGCTATTCCAACATGTTGAAATCTTGATGCAAGGGTGCAAGGGTGCAAGAGGCAAGCAAGAGTAGGCAGCACGTGCTACCGCCAAGCAACGTACGAAAGGGCCTCACGGAATGATAATGTATCTGTCTCACAAAGCTCATGCTTATCAAGAGGTCAAAACTCCGATTTAAGAGCGCGACTCACGTAGCTTAGGCGACGGAGAGCTTGCGCGCAGAGAAGGCGTCGGGGTCCCTGCTCGTACACTACGATCCATGGGCCATAATGTTAATAGCCCTTGCCTTTTCGCCGCCTGTGGGCAACAACAAGGAGGTGTAGGAGGTTAGTCACCAGGAATTACGGCTTTATGGGGCGGTTCGACCGGTCGATGTATGGCAGACGTGGGTTTTTTTTGTGTCGGGCTATTTGGCGCTGTTGCTTTTGGCGCTGATTTCCTCGTCAGTCCAATCAAAGAGGAAGGGGACATCGTCCGGTAGCTACAATAGCTGTGTCCGCTTGATTGATGTTGTTCTGCCCCGCCGGTCGGCTTGCGTGTGAGGGAATCTGCTTTCCCATGATCACCGACGCCCTGACCTATCGAGCCGTGAGTGCCGTCAACGCAAGTAGGTGCCGTCGTGACGGGGCCACCAAAGTACAACACAAACAACAACCTCGGCGAGGACGACAGCAACAACACCCGTCGGTTGTAGAACAAATAATGGCTACGACGTATCGATGCGCACATTCTATTTGTTTCAGAAACCATACATGACAGCTATCCGCGCAATGCCCCGGGTACACTTCCCCGGAAGCGCACACCCCTAATCATAACCCTCACCCTACCCTTATACCTTATCCCGAACCAACCCCTCAACGAAAACCAATTTTACCAGATCAAGAAATCTGAATCTTCCCTACCGGCGTAGCACTCCACGAAGATGGCCGCTTCAACGATCCCGGCCGGGCAGCCAACAACGGTGACCGGGGCGCCGGGCTAGACACCTGCCGCCTTGACACTGACCCTGCCGACGAGAGACGCGACGAGCCCGGCCTGCTCGTGTCTTGTCGCGCGCTACGAGGAGGCGTGCTGGAGAAGAGGCCCTTGTCTGTGCCACCGCCGCCGCCAGTAGAACCCCCCGTGGCGGGCCGCTTCTCGAAAAGGGAGTCGGAAGCATGGAAGCACGTTGTTGTTGTTGTTGTTGTGGTTGATGTCGGGGGATGAGAAAGAAAGATAGGTGCCGATCACGTGCGATTGGACGAACCGTGTTCGTTTATGATTACAGTATACACGAGGATGGAGTGCTGGGAGTCTGCCGGCCGAAACTCTGGCAAGGAATAATGATCGCATGCCTGTAAACTGTGTGCAACTAGAGACAACAGCTTCGCGATGTGACATGGGCTGCGGCCACTGCCAGTGCGATGCTGTCGAGCTTTTTAAGTGTCAACACGAAAACATTAACTCGTCGACGCTAACATACGTACAAAACGAAGCACCTTTTTTCAACCAAAAACGCACTCTCGAAGGAGTTCGCAGTGACACTCCGCCTTCACGCCTCGATCGTTTGTCGCAACAGACCTGTGGCCTCATCTGCTGCTGCTGCTGCTGCTGCTGCTTCTCCTGCTGTGCTAGCGGTGAGGAAGCTTGTCGCCCGCCTCGAGGAGCCAGGACTCCCCGCTCCCTCCCGGACGAGTTCTCCGCCATTACCGAAACCGTGCCACCGCCGCTGCCGTCGCCGTTCTGCCAGGCCGGTCGGAGCGGGCGGCCTAGCTTTTCCGGCCTATGTGCCGCCGCCTCAGTCGGTACTTCTCTTCGTTGCTGTTGCTGCTGCTGCTGCTGCTGCTGCTGCTTCTGCTCAGAAACACCCTGCACTCGGCCAGGCGACGCGTTCGGCGCCGCCATCGGCACTTGTCTCGGCGTGTCCGGTTTCCTACCACTCGCTTGGCCGCCTAGCCGAAGAGGGCGCCCTGGTACCGAAAACGGCAATGGCATCAAATAGGCTCCGGCGCCGGCCACCGCTGGCGACGCGGATCGAAGAGGCTCATGTTGCTGCTGCTGCTGCGGCTGAGACTGACTGCTTCGGTCCAGCGAGGCACGACCGCGAGCCGCCGCGGCGTCGGCGTTGTTTGCTGAGCCGGACGATCGCGGAGGTCCCTGGCCAGTTGGTGCTATTTCCCTCGCGGGGACTGCATGTTCCTGGCGGAAGTTTTCTCTTCGCCTACCGCTACCACCGCCCCCCCCGGTACCGTTACCTGCGGATCGATCCTCGGAGCGGCTGTTGGGTGCAGGCCGCCTTTTCGCCGGCGTCCCCGCTGCTGGTCTGTTCTCTTCCCTGGCCCAGCCGAACCTTTGCCTGAGGTTCCCGATGGGCGAGCTGCCGTCACCACTGACTCTTCTCCCCTGCCCACCCTGGTGACCGCTGGCTAACACCTCGGCGGCCTCCGCTCTCTGGCGCCACCTGAGAGCCTCTCCTTCAGCCGCTTCACGCCGCCCGACCTCTTCCGAGTGGACAAGCCGTAGTTCGTGCAGGGCCTTGTTCGCCTGTTAGTTAAAGTTCGGGATACACACGCTGCTTTCTACCGTTGCATAGCAACTACAACAGTCGCCTGTATCTTGTCGGCTACAGCTAGTGCCTCGATGGAGTGGAACGCAAACTTTGTTTCGTAACAGGTACAGCAGTAGGGTAAAGGATAATCGGTTGAAAAAAGTTCAAGTGCGTAGAGTCGGCAGACACGACCGGACGATAGCAACGCCGTGCGACCGGTTTCTTTCTGTCGTATCGGTTATGAAGGACCAAAGGCCCCTCGAGGGACCCCACGCGCACCCACGACCAATTCCACCGCTCACAGGGCAGTAGCGAGTGTGAACAAACTCCATAGATAACATCGCCATAACTAGTTTCTGCGGTGATTGTGGCGAGTAGCTTCGCAGGGGGTCCTACCCACGCCAGTCGTCTCATCATGCACGCGCAACCATTGGTGCACCCATCCTCCCTTCCCCTAGACACGAACGGGGTTACGTAGAGAGGCAAAGCCGGTGCAAATCACCCTTTCCTTCCTCGCATTCATGCGTGTGCGTGCTCTTCATAAATAACACCTAGTAATATACATCGGAAGCCTGTTCAGATAGTACGTAGACGCATGGAGCGTACTTAAGAATCCCAGCACCTGGTTCGCGGCAGAGCGGAAGTGGTCAAGCTGAAACATTACCACATCGTTTGCCGCCTTCAACCGTGTCGACGGGTCCTGGACGCGTGAGGGGGGTACAGGAGGGGGCAAGGGGCAAGGGGGGACAAGAAGATGCCATGCCGCCTGTTTCAAGCTTTGTGCGGCAGAAGGGAGAGAGAGGTACGGCGTGCGTGTAAGGCACTGAAACGGTGCTAGGGGAGTAATCTAGCTCATACACCTACTGCATGTGGATATTAACTGGAGGAGTGAAGGATAGCTACCCATGACCGGGAACAGATAGATAGATGCTGTTGGTGGTTTGGGGATAGACAAATATATAGAAGTGCTTTGTTTAGTGTGCCGCATCGGGTGGCGATTTGTACTGCAAAGACTACAGCAAGGGTTCTTGGGGTAGATTCATGTCTACATAGATCGTAGCCTAGACTAACCAACGATAAGTACGACTTGTTCTCCAATATTTATTGCGTCCCTCCAAAACAATGAAAACAGAAAAGGAATTTCTTTGTTTACCATCCTAATGTGAAGACAACAACCGGTCGCCGACAGACCTACGGCAGCAAAGGCCGTTATATGCTACCACCATCGATGCTCCTTTGAAAAATGATAACTCCGTTCGTATGTGTAGTACCTGCAGGTAGTCCCGCACCTCCGCGGGGGGGTTATCCAACACCGCAGCGCGTGCATTGAGGCCACAGTGCGGGCAGGTGGATGGTTGGTTCCTTCGACAGCACCCTGTGGAATGTTCCATGTTGCATGGAGGATAGAGAGAGAGAACGAGAGAGAGAGAGAGAGGAGGAAATCACGAGGAACGCAGGCAGGCCTCGTTACGTACCAATAGCACAATAGTTCCACTTGAAGCACATTTTTACGTGCTTGTACTGCTGTAGACAATGTTCCGAGGATCATCACGGGTACAAACCATGCGGTGCTGCTTCGGCGGTACCGTCGTTATCGTCGTCGTCATAGACTGGAGTCTCGCCGATTTTTGGAAACGTTTGCCGGCTGAGGGGAGAGAGTGCTTCACCATCAGGGAGGGCAGGGAGGGGGGGCGAGAGACAGAGAGAGCCAGCGACGATCTTTTTCAAAATTTGAAATGTTGTGTGTGCGGTCCTTTACTTGTACTGCTGTGGAGTACCACAGGCGTGCGCAGGCAAGAGGAAACGCGCACACAAGTCAAACATGCCTATATTTACACAACCGAAGAGAAGGCAGGACTCACCGTGGCAGAAAAAGTGCCCACAGGACAACAAGAAGCCATTGGTACCGCTGGCGATCTGCGTAAGACAGCCATTGCAGATCGGGTTGAACATGCCGCAGGTCAGGTCCTTCTTTACAGTCAGGATAATGTCGCGATCGGCGATGTGATGAAGCCTCTGCGTCGATGTGCAATTGACTAACACCAGCCTCAACGATCAACCCCAAGGATTGCCTCTCCAGGCATGTATATATGAGCTTACTTCAGTACCAGACCGCCTACACAATAGCCTACTGTAGGCAGTAGGTCAGTTCCCGGTGCCCATGGTGCTGCTCGGTGGAGTGTTAGGTTTGGGCGGCCCCGCGGATCAGATGCATTCGTTTCTTCCCACCCCGCCCGCCATCGTGTTGCTCGGAATTTATTTGAACATTCGAAAATTGCCTTGTTGGTTCAAATCACATTCAAATGAAATACCAAGGAGGAGATCGCACATATCTCGCGTGTGAACGGAGGCAAGGGCACTCCACGTGAGGCAGATTGGAGAGATATCGCCCAACTCTTCCAATGGTGTTTATCTAGATCAAAAAACGATATTTTAGCGGACAAAGTGTTGGTCGAGCACCGATTCTTCCTCTCTCTACAATGCACACACACACGAAAAGGAGAACTTACCTCCTCCGGGGTGATTTTCCTTACCAGAGACGTCTTCGTGTTGCTGCGTGCTAACCATGTCAGTGCTTGGGTGGTAGCAGTGTAAGCTTTCCTGTTTTGTGAACACAGGGTTTTGTTTGCCGAGTGCGCATGAGTGCGCGTGCCCCCCGAATTTCTTCAAGCCTTGCCAAGCCGGTAGTTTTTTTCGTGACTAAAACGATCGACTGCCACTTTCTAGCAAATACTTCGTAGATGATGTTTGCTAGAGAGGTAATTAATTTCCTTCCGCGTCTTCCCGTGGTCGCATGCATATGTTCATTGCAAGAAATGATGCATCATGCAAGGCTGAGGGAAAAGACTGCACGGCACCGCCAGACAAGCTGACCGAGCACCGAAGAACGGCTCTGGTGAACGTACTCGGTCGGTTGTTGCTTGGATGAGGCGTTTTGGGCACACCAAAACACCCGTATAATACGTAGATAGCAGCAGCCTCAGTGTTGTCGCGAGGGAATTACACCGGTGGTGTGGCTCTTCAGCGCATTTTGCAGGAAAAACGACCAACACTTCTACCCTCGCCTCCCTTCGTCTTGCCTGCTCAACTTTATCTTCTTATCTTTCTGCCTTTTCCCACCCGTCGCCCAATTGCGCCTGTCTTCTACTATCCCCCCCGCTCTCCGTCCGATTTCCTGTCCTATCCCCCGCTTTGCCCGTTTGCTTCATTCAGTTCTGAGAGCATCATCGCGATCCGCAGTCATACGACACTGCCGGAGAGCAGTCGTGAGCATTGGTCGCACATCTACCCTTGGTTCAACCGCTTCGGTAACTTTACCCATTTTCGTGGCCTTGCCTCGTCCCGTGAGTCTCTCGCCCAAGAACACGGAGAATCTCGAGCAAAAAATATACGTGTTGCTATGACGTCATGTCTTACCACCATATCGTGGAATCTACTCCCACCCCAATTGCACAGGCATCGACTCGGACTATTGTCGTAGATCGCCCTTTAGTGTGTGCCTCCGACCCTCACTCCTTCCTCCCTACGTACTACGTGTACACAGCGCCGTTCTTCCTTCTTGCATATATCGCATTCACGCGATCAACGTTTCCGGATATCAAGAGACGACTCCTTCGCCAAAGCCCCGCCCA